ATATATGTATCTATGTATATGTGTATATATATGTGTATATGTATATGTATCTATGTATATGTGTATATATATGTATACCCTTATACTCAGACTGCTAACTTGTTCAGTAATGATAATATATAAAATACGCAAAGATACTCCTCCCCAATTGAATGAAGAAGCAATACATTATAATTACCATAAATAAGAACATAGTGTATTAGAGTATTCATAGTCATTACTACGTTGATATTTAGATTTGAGGTATATAGTTAACTGAATATGCAAACTGCTAAATAAGACTTATGCCGATATTGTCGGTGTGATTTTACAGATTTACGGCACATCTTTATACGCCACACTGGCCAGTAGTAGTAATATTTGTTAATGCCTACAGTAGTACTGTATATATGACAATTACTTTTTTATTCCTTCTTTGAGGGCGTCTTCCGGTGGGTCAGCGGTAACTATACGGATTAACAACGCTAAAATTCGGGGTTCGATTCCCTGCGGTGGACAGAGCGTGCATAGCTCATTATATTGTTTAGCATTAAGAAAACAATAACAACACATTTGATGTCTGAAAGGCCTGAATATTCTAAGGATTAAAAAAAGTGAAAAATGTGTGTATATATATTTCATTGTAATATTTAGCAGCTGTAATAGTGTCACGTTCTGATAGGACTAGGCCTCTATATTGAGCGGAGCTGTTCGGTTTCATTTTTTTATCACATGCTCTTCTCTGTTCTTCTTCGCATACATTTATATACAATATGATGCGGGGTCCACGTGAAATTTTCTTTGCGGTAGAGCTAAACATGCTCCCCAAGAAGACTGAAACATGGACTTCCCACGGAGACGGAACCCGACTCCTGGCCAGCGGGATGCCAGCTGGAAACGGGCTTCACGCTAGCCGAAGTGCAGCTTTCTACAGTGAGGTTTAGAGCTGGTGCAGGGTGACCTGTGTACTTTGTTCAATTTTATTTCTTTGCTTCTCTCCTCCCCCCCCCCCTCCCCAGGCTCCTCCTCTGAATTTCTCCAAGTTCGTCTAATTCTTGGAACATTCGAAAAGTTGAGACTGCAGTGGCGCCGTTTCAGCACTGACAGATTTCGTCTCTCTGCTCAAAGCTGAAAAAGACTGGGGGTGTGGGGGTGAAGGATATTTGGTGAAAGACGAAATTCGATGCATGTGTTGGATCAAAATACGTCCTGTTAGGAAAGGTGCCAGCAGTCTCTACTTCTCTCGATGGATTCTTTCTCTCAGAGGATCAGGTTACCATTCATGCTGTACATGCATGGAACTAGGAGGATCACCCGCACGTGCTTAATTAAATGCCTAAAGAACAAACATTATTTTAAGCACTTATCATTCAAAGTTTAGTCAAGACGACAATGATTGTAAAGAGTTGTGTGTGAATCTAATTTTGTCGAAAAGAATACAGAGTAAAATTCCACACACATCCTGGTAATAAAAATGCCTAATATGGCAAAATAATTTAAACTCGGAGGGAATGCTAATAGAGTTTCTGACAACGTTGTGGGAATTAGTATCTATACAATGTGTGACCTCTGCACAATAACTAGTACATGTTCTGTTTCTGACAACGTTGTGGGAATTAGTATCTATTCAATGTGTAACCTCTGCACAAGTAGTACATGTTCTGTTTCTGACAACGTTGTGGGAATTAGTATTTATTTAATGTGTAACCTCTGCACGACAACTAGTACATGTTCTGTTTCTGACAACGTTGTGGGAATTAGTATCTATACAATGTGTAACCTCTGCACGACAACTAGTATATGTTCTGTTTCTGACAACGTTGTGGGAATTAGTATCTATACAATGTGTGACCTCTGC